ACTAAGTCCAATGATCCTTTAGGTGCGATGGCTGCGGAGGGCTAGGCTTTTGCGGTTAGAGCTTCAGCTTCCGGGTCATTAAACCCTAAACCCTAACCCTAAACCCTAAACCTAGTAAAGCCTTAAGCGTATCATCTCATCCCTCTGACTACTGCTAACAGTCTGCTTCTCGAGGAGAGTGCTTACATTGAGCTCTTGCGTTTCTTGGTAGTGACTGTTCAGTGTACATTACAGGGGCTGGATAGTCTCCATTGCTGTCAGCAACACGGTTGTAAGTGGTTTGTGTCGTAACGGCCCGGAAGTCCACAGTAGATATGTTTGTCAGCCTTGAGGATTTCCATCCTAAACCCTAAACCCTAAACCTGTAGAGGGTCATACCCTACCATTGTCCAAGCAAGCTCGGACTGTCGTTCGGGGGTGCGGGGCCCTGTGATACCGGGCCGTGAACCCCTTTGGAAATTAGGGCTTCGGTTTCAGGGGCTACCTGCACCCCGAGAGTATCTAGAAGCATAGCCTTTTAAGGCCTAAGCCCTGAACCCTAAACCCCGGGTGAAAAAGGGGCTACAAGAAAAACTAAACCCTGAGCCATTGTTTGATCTACATTCGGGGGTGTAGGCAATGGCTCTGGGATCAAAATTCAGGGTCCCGGGTTTAAGTTCGAGGACTCAATGCCGAAACCCTTCAGCCTGACCAGTGGTTGTTCCGCCGGAGGTTTGGGGCAACTGTTTCCACCAGTGACATGGGAGTTTCCGAAAATAGGGTACCCTAATATAGTAGCCTAAATAGTAGGATCCTTATTGTAAGGAGCCCCAAACGGGGTACCCCCATTTTCGGAATCTCTCACCTGACTGACCTCAGGAAGTGTCCTGTACCGTTTCCAGACCTTGGGCTCTTTTTGTGGTCTCCGAGCGTGTGTTTTATTTGGCTCGCACACACCCAGAGGATCGCCTTTCGAATGGGAGCCAAGCTGCTGCACGACCTTCAGGAGCGTTCCGCTAGTCGTCGCAAAGGATGTTTAAAAAGAAGTCCACAGGCTGAAGAAGTCGTACAAGCAAGTCAGGTTGGAATGCCGGTGTTCGTGGCGGCCAAATCCCCGTTTCCGCAAACCAAAACCCCTAAACCCCCAAACCTTAACCCCTCATCCTGTCGTCGTTTAGCGTGCTCTTAAAGGTTCTGCCACTTCGAACCTCAACCCAAAACTACAAGCACCAGACCAGAGGCAGAGACCGAAATCCCTAAACCCTAAACCCGAAAGCAGAAATCCTTCGTCCTATTTTGGCAGGCAGTGGAGGCTATCGGAGAGCTTGGAGCTATCATCCGTCGCTTTGCTTCAATGGGATGCCAGCGTTTGGCGGTTAGGGTCTTAGAGTCTTAGGGTCCTCGGGTTTGCGGTTGAGGGCTTAGCGAGTCGCAGGGCTCCAGCGCAGGAAGCCTGACTAGTTATCAATAGTATCCTGCAGGCTATCTCAATCAACGTATATTCTTATAGCATAGCCCGAAGTGATGTTCCAATTATGATTATCATGCTTTTCTCTTATTCAGATCCTTCATGAGGCTTGGAGAGGCTGTCAGACGGTTGATGATATAAATCCTGCATTATCCACAGTAAGGTATATACCATAATTCCCATAGTTTAGGGACCTTCAGGTAATGCAGGATTTATATCACCAACCGGAGCACTCTACTTTGTCGGTGCTTCTGGGAGATTTGGGACTCGGAAAGGGTTCACCTTTGGAGGCCATCCCAGGCTTAAAGGTTCTGGAGTTGGGGTCTAGGGTTTGGGGTTTAGGTTTGGGGTTTAGGGTTTGGGGTTTAGGGTTTGGGGTCTAGGGTTTGGGGTTTAGGGTTTAGGGTTTAGGGTTGGGGGTTTAGGGTTGGGGGGGGGGGGTTTAAAAGCTCAGGCGTCTTAGGGCTTGGACGTCTGTGGGGTTGTGATTTTGGGTTTAGGATGCGGGCTTTCCAACCTGCCTGGCCTTAGATGGGGCTTGTGGTTCTCTGTAGTGGGCTACGTCGAGTTTACCGTCTGTAGTTGAGGAGCTCTAGGTGGAGTTTTCGGGGGGTGCGCAGCCCTAAAGCCTAAACCCTAAAACCCTAAAACCCTAAACCTTAAGCCCTAAACCCGAAACCCGAGGTGGTCAGGGCACTTTGGACATTTTAGGAGTTTGATCCCCTTGTCGTGGCAGCCTAAAGTTAAAGCTCTGCGGCACGTGTTGCGATGCCCAAGAGGGTACCTAGAGAACCCATATGTTTCGGACTTCTTGGTCGGTTGGAAGATGAGTCATAATATGGTGAGGGTTGAGGTTGGGATTCTTTTGTAGATGTATATGGGGCTTCTTTAGAACATTGATGTAGATGTGGGGTGTTGATTCCGAGGTTACTGGTCATAACAAGCTCGACAGAACATCATTCTTTTTCGGTGATCGTCGCCGAGGGGTAAGCAGAAGCCGACGCATTTCATGGCTCCGTCCCTAGAGCTCCACGTGCCCATATAGTAGGTACTTAGGCCTTAAAGGGGTCCCTATATGGCTACTTTAAGGCCTAAGTACCTACTATATGGGTACATGGAGCCTTTGGGTGTGGTATCCTAGCAGGCTCCACTGGGAGGAAGATTTCACGCTGAACTCCAAAGCTTTTGTTTAGAGGAGCTGGCCTTCGAAACCTCTAAGCAAAGAGGTATCATCTGTACGACGCTAGATCACCCGAACCAATAACCCCGAACCCATGCCTTATAGTCTTGAACTCCCGAAAGCCCAGTAGTCGGCAAAACACTCTCTACGACTTGACATGTTTTGTTCGACCCTAGCCCTACTGCTAAGCTCTCAAATGTTAAGGATCTTCAGGATGTGGGGTGCATCTACAATACTCTATCAGGCTTCTAGGCTTTTTTGAGACTTACTAGGGTGATGTCCCGAAGCCTCAAAGTGGACCCATCCATCTTTACAGACTGTAATTATGTAAGACCTCTTCGAATCGTTTGCAGACCCTGAAATCTCGACGCATAAGGCTTAGCAGGTGAGTGGATACACTTTACACTTTTTGGTATAGCATTACCCACTACACAACTGAAAGTATAAACTTTTGGGGGGCTTATGAAGTCAGCAACTAAGAAAGTATATACTATTTGGGGACATGCACCCATAGGGCTCTGTGAGGCCTTAGGCCTGTAGTTTCAGGTGTTGTAAAGACGGCCGCTGCCGCCTTTCCCGACGTGGCGGTTCAATGCCAGGCCAGGGTTTCCCCCTCATGGTCCGTTCATATTTAGGGAGTTTCCGAAAAGTAGGGGTACCTTATTTTGGGGTCCTTGTAATAAGGATCCTACTATATTGAATTTTGGGTACTATATTAGGGTCCCCTATTTTCGGAAACTCGCAAATAGCATTCACTCTTTCCCCAAAGTATTGAAATAGGGCTTTCTTTAAGACCGCAGTATATACTGCTGGGGACACATGGCCCCTTAGGATTACCCGAAGAGCCCATTGGGTTTGAATGTCATTAAAAGTTTAGGGTTTAGGATCGAAGCGCTCTTACTCTCGATAGGTTTGAGTCTTTCGAGCCCTGGCCCTGCCCACTCGAGGCTTTACAGAGAAGTGAAGAAGTTATTCCACAAACAGAAGTGCTTGACCAGCAGGTACGAAAAAATGCTGGCAGCATCTTGCAGCTTTACTTGCTTTTTTCCAAACCAGGCAAGTTTGCGACCGGGATCAGATTGTTCATGAAGAAATGAATTTGTTGGTTGTTTCGTATACTGTCTGGTATGTCAGGCGGCATGGCCCCGAAGCAGGGAAAATAGAAGTCGCCACACCAGAAGTGGGAAAAAACAACGTGAGGGCGTTGGCCCTGCCTTCATTTTACATTGTGGTTTCGCGTTCACGTCTGAAGTCGGACATGTCTACATTTCATCCTTCTAGATGTTAAATTCAGGAGTTTGTTTTGAGGAGTTCCAACAACTGAGGCACGAGAAGACGCAGAAAAGCAGGCCATTTAAGTTTGCTTCGGAACACCTACGTTCATTCTGATGATCGTCTCTATGCCAGGCAGAAATGAATAAGCGTGCGTGGGACAAGGCACAAAAGCACGTGCTTCTACCTCCCTTGGTCCAGCAAGAGCCGTGGTGACTTTTTCAGTTGTGTTTCGCTTGGGGCAACAGCTGTGCTGTTCAATTGAAGTTCAGCAGGCATCAGTTTCACTACAAGGACCCTTTAGTCGATTGCGACTACTGCCGTCGTTGGTGCATGCAGTCGCAGGAGAGAATGCAGGCCAAACTGCATTCAGCGAGTCGCATCCCACAGCAGATACTGTTTGCTTCCGGGGTGCCCCCGGACGTTCGGCGCTCCTCAACTCATCCCCAAGACCACCGTTGAAAAAGAGAACCAGCATACACAAGTCCAAATGCATAGATATAAGCCATACAGGACCCCATGAGGTCGACTTCTGCCCCCAGCGCTTTGCGGAAGTCCGGACAACAGGGTGGGCCCACGGATGCTTTTTAGTGACGGCAAAGTACGGCACATTCTGCCAATCGAACCCCTATGCGACCCCTGAAAGACACGTCCATTGCGGTGACGTTGTTTCGGCGTAAATGAGCTCATCAGGTCAAAATCGTGGATGGATGCAGCAAGGCAGCCTGCTTGCCGGCGTTTCCGTCTACACCCGAAGCAGACGTTGCATGAAAGTTATACATGTCTTCCCAAGTTACAGTTGTCCATTTTTTTACGACGAGTGTCCGGACACTCTGTTTTTTGTGTGTGTACAAATGGTGCTTGTGCCGCCGTGCTGGCACGGGAGAGCGGGCTCGTACACCTCCTCCACGAGGCGTGTCAGCTTAGACTGAAAAGCTTTGAAATGGTTGGCTATGCTGGCCTGGTGCTTGTGTCATTCATGTCTTTATGAACAATGCCAATTCGAGATCATGCTCCTACGAGCATGAGTTCAAGTTGCGTAAACTTGCAGGCACTGCTTCTAGGGTAAGCGCATAGGGGTGCGAGTGGCCTTGTCAGTGCATGTCGGGGCAAGATCGTCATGGCCACGTCTCGCAACAGGCCGGGCTCATGCACCAGAGTGGCCATGGGAAGGCCGGGGATCCGGAGTTGGAGTTTGGCAGCCGAAGCGAAATTTCGAAGCGGTGGTTTTTGCCGGCACGAAGAGCCAGCGGCCTCGGCTCGGCTCTCCAGCAGCCCGAGTCCGAGATTGCAACGTTCATGTGCGGCGACTGCCTTCGCAAAGACTCAGCTGTCCAAACCTCAATGTTACGCCAAACAAAATTGACTTGGGATGATCTGCACCGAGTTCGCTAAAAGCCAGATTTCTCTTCCGGAGCCCTTCGGCATGCTTAAACCTCAACCTTGCATGCCATAGCCTTAGCCCTAGCCCTAAACCTGACGCTCCAGAAGGCCTAAATGCTAAGCCCTAAACCATAAACCTGGCACATTATCAGTCTCATATGTTGTATGTTAGGTGTGTTGTAGGATGTGCTATGTTCGTTGATTCTGGCTACTTCCGGCCTTCCTGGCATAATCAGGGCTTTCTTGGGGATGTAGCAGGCAATTAAGAGGCTTTGGGAAGGACGGGTCAAGTAAGGGTTAAGGCTGTTTGTTCGTTTTAGAAGGGCCTTATTCGCATGCCGGGCTGTGGCTAGCTGGCTATGAGTTTTTCTAGCAGTCTACAAGCTAGCATGTTATGGAGGTTTTTCGTCGTTGGCGCAGTCAGTGTCGACGATTTGGATCCAGAGTGCGGGGTTCCAAACCTGAAATCCCTGACCCCGGAGTAAAGCTTGTGGGGTGCAGGGTTTGGGACTTGCCTGCTGTTTTCGGCGTTCTGGTTTTCGGGCTTAGGGCTTCATGTCGCGAGTCTGGGCTTTTTGGTTTAAGTACACCCCTAAGCCATAATTCGGCCTAATAATAAGGCTTAAACTTCCCAAACTTGAGAACCCGTCAAAGACCAGACCCTAAACCGCAAGCCCTCAAACCAAAACTGTAGACTCCCTAGTTACACTATCCGAAACTGCTTTCACACCAAGCCCTAAAAACCGAAGCCCTGAACCTCTAAAGCCTAAACCACAGTCATCACACAAGCGCCCGAACACCTTTATGAAAATTGACAACGGCATTATCTTAAACGCTAAACCCAAGCCCGCAAACCCGAAATCCCATAATTTCAACCCTAAGCCCCACTTTCAGTAGTAAACTCCAACCGCCAGGAGCTGCTTGACAAGCACCACAAAGGCGAGTTGAGGGCTGTCACGCAGGAGCGCCGCCGTGTTCTTCGCGTCAGAGCGAGTTTTTAGGGTTAGGTTCAGGGTTTCGAGATAGATTACTGGATGTTTTAACAGAATTCTACCACAGGTTTCGAAGGCTCGTTTACGATTGTATGAAGGCTTTAATTACAGGCTTTGACAAGTGATGTATAATTTCTGATGGTTTCTATCGGGCCTTTACAACGGGCTCAACATTATGTTTTGTATTCTTGGGGACTATAAGGCTTTCACAAGAGCTTTGTAAGCGGGTTACAGGGTGTTGTGGCGTTTAGGTGGTTCTTACAGTTATTACGGCTCGGTCTCAGTGGTCGTTGTGACAGGGATCCGACCTTGCCTGATTCCCCATATATTTTTCTAAAACCTGTAAGTTGCAAGTCGGATGCTCAATCCATCGACTTGTTCGTTTTGTGGATGCTGGAGGCTTCCTAAACCCGAAACCTTCAACCTTAAGCCGCGACAGCTCACACTAATCTGGACTTCAGACCCGAACGAAAGCAATCCGGATGGCCATACAAATATTGCTGCGATCACGGTGAGTCCGGTGAGTTTGACAATCCAAGCCCTCGGCCTTTTAACCTTTTATCCAACATCTCGCAGCCTGGACCCTTGTGGAATCTTTATGGATTACTCCTGAACCCAATGAGCCACATGGAACCTTCTTGAACCCTAGTTTTTTAGTCCTTATAACCCTTTGCCTTGGCAGGAGAACAAGCTTCGCATCCAAATCCAGGAGACTTTAGGGCGCAGGGGTCGAGACATTGCAAAGATTAATTAAATTAGACATCTGGGTTCATTTCACGTGGGTTTTAGGATTTTAGTATTTCTGAATTTACTGAAACTGCATGCCTGTATAGGTGGAAGTGAAGCATTCAAGCTTGGGCTGCCTGTTTTGCCAGATTCCAGGAGGTGCCCAAACCCCTCACTGGCGTCTTATTACGTAAGGAGTTAAGTAATAGGGATCTCTCGTAAATAGTACGGATTCCCTATTATGGTAACTTAAATTACGTCCCTGAACCCAGCTTGATCAAGGTTAGGTTTAGGGCTTCAAGGTGCTAAACAAGTTTCCTCAAATTCTTCAGGTGTCTCATATTCTAATATTATGGTATATATCTACAGTACATTATGAGGTCGGAGTGATGGTTTCAGCTCCGATGGCTTTGCCGATTATTTACAGTACATTATGAGGTCGGAGTGATGGCTTCAGCTCCGATGGCTTTGCCGATGGTTGAGTTCGGGGACATGAAGCGAGAGCCCACTAAAATTCAAGCAGGGGCTAGTGATGAAGAGACACTTGAGAAACATGCCTCGTCTGCCCAGCGGTGCTTCGGCACAGTTAGGCTGTTCACCACCCTGAGCCTGGATCGGGAACCCGGAACCAAATAACTCCAGACCGCAAACCTAGAGTGCACGACCCAGGACAGGCGTCATTTTGTGTGCAGGCTGCAAGGATCGCGACTGTTCAGGGTGAAGGATTTGCCCCCCAGCCCCAAAATTGAAGCCCTACAACCCCCCCAAAAATCCTCACCCTATATTGGCCTGAAGCCCTGCCTAGCTAAAGCCGGGCACCAAAACTAGCAAACCCCAAACGCCAACATAGCCATTCCTGCATTCTTGCGTCGGGGTCTTTATTACATGTATGTTACAGCACACCCCAAAACCTTGCCGTAATTTTGAAGGCCGCTACATGAAACCCTATCCCACGGCGCTAGGAGAAGGAAGCCGAAGAAATGGTTCGCACTGCCAACATCAGGCGCATGGCCGGCTCAGGGTTAGGAGCTATTAGGGCTTGAAAGGGTTTTACACGGTGCCCAGTACCAATTAATGCCCTTTGATCCGGGAATCAGGGTTCACGATTTAGACATGCGGGTTTGTGAGGTGTGTGCACTGACCTGAATGAAATACAACCCGTCCACTATGTCAGAACATCTTGGCTTATAGAGAGCTAGCACAAATCCCGATCAAAACAGCCTTCCAGGATCCTGTCATGCCATTATGAAGCCCTACACGTCTTATAAATCCCTCACAAAAGCTATTCAGCGTCCCATCACTGTGAAGCTTAGAGCCCCTTGAACAGCACATAAAACAGTCCTAAATGTATACCTGAAGCCCCTTTAACCTTATGAATCCGAAACCCTAAGCCCAAATAGCTCCCTTAAAGGACTGTTCTCAATCCTGCACCCCAGCGTAGGCACGAAGCCCTAAACCCTGCACCCCTCGACCTAAGCCCTACCTTAAGCCCACGTAACCTACCTTTTTAAGGACTTATATAAAGAAATCATATTAGGGAACCCTAAAAAAGGTAGGTTCCTTAGGGTCCAGGTAAACCCTAAGCCTTGAACCCTACACCCGACCTTCAAAGTCAGGCTGATGCTCGCCGAGGGGCAGAAGAAGGCGGCGGAGGAGAAGCTGAGAGAGGCGGAAGAGGAACGAGCCGGGGCCCAAGGGTTTAGGGTTTAGGGTTTAGGGTTTAGGGGTTTAGGGTTTAGGGTTTAGGGGTTTAGGGTTTAGGGTTTGGGTTCAGGGCTTTAGGGCTTCATAGGGCTTTGGGTTTAGGCTTTCAGGGCTTCGGGTTTAGGGCTTTAGGGTGCAGGGTTTAGGGTTTTATGCTTTAGGATTCAACGGTTTAGGATTTAGGGTTTCCGGGGCCCAAGCTTGCAACAGCTGCTCTTCATGGGTTCCTTCAGGAATTTCCTGAGGGTTCATAGGGCTTCGGGATTTGATAGGGGGTTCAGCTTCAAGAGGACCGAGCCGGAAGGTTTGAGTTTTAGGGTTTAGGTTTTAAGATGTGGCTTTCGGGTTTAAGCTTCACGGTTTAGAGTTTGAGATGTAAGGTTCAGATCTGAAGGTTTCGGGTTTATGGCTCAGGCCTTTGGGGTTTAAGGGTTTCGGGGTTCAGGAGTTCAGGTTTCGGGTTTATGGTTCGGGGTTGAGGATTTTAGGACTTTGGATGTAAAGCAGCAAGCCAAGCTTTCTTGGTGCGGAAACGGGGAACTGTTGTAGCCTAAACCCAGCAGCCAAGCCCCCTGCGAGACCCTACTGAAAGGATAAGGTGACTTAGTAGCTAGGGTTGTAAATAGGGTAACTATACTTATAACTACTTAGAACCCCAATTAAGGTACTTATAACCTTACCTACTAAGTCCCATGATCCTCCAAGTATGTCCAACATCCGCAGACCCCAGAACCCCCAAGAAGAGGGCTTTTCACTCTTGAAACCTTAAAACTAGTCTGCCCCAAGCCGCCAAAGCCCGAACCCTGCCACGTCTACGACCCTGGAGAATTCTAGATTTATAGAAACCGGCGAAGCCTTCTTAGTTCTTAAACTGGACTCTACACCAGCCCCCCCATCCCTAAAACCAACAAAGCTGAGTGATAAATCTTGACAAAAGTCACAGATACAACGTGTTACAACATCAAAAACAACAAACCACAAAACTACAACCCGAAATCCTAAAGCCTGAACCCTAAACCCTAAACCCTTTTCAGAGTACCGTTAAATGTAATGGTGAGTCTAGGGAGGGGCTCTGGAGCCCCAGCTGGAGACTTGAGGTCTTGGCCGAGCAAGCCAAGCAGGATGTCCGGATCTCGGGACTTGCTTTGTCGTGCAGATCTAGGGTCCGTAGTCTTAGTAGGGTTTGGGGAATAAGGTTTGGGGGTATGGGGTTAAGGGCTTGAGGGGTTTGAAGTTTTAAGTTGCAAGGGCCTCACAAGTTCAACTTTGAAGGGCGTCATACGGGGATCTGTCAAGGGGCGTTTTTGTGCTTCGTGAGAGCTGTATGGGATTGATGCGGTATGTAAGGCTGATCATGAGGGTATGGAGGGCCCTGTGAGGCTGTATGAAGGTTTCAAGGGCCAAGAAGGATTTGATTGACAAGAGTTTTACTATGGAGGCTTATAGAGTTCGGGGTATCAGACCTAGCTTCAAGTTGCCAAAATTATGGTCCCTTTTGGGTACCCTAAATAATAGGTGCCGGTGCCGTATTATAATAGGGCCCAGAAAAGGAACCCTACCATGTGGGGCTTGTTGTAAAGGTCTTGTTTGGACCGCCGGTGCTTTCAACAATTGCCTCCGTGTTGCTGCCGCTTGGCCATCAGATATCTTCGTGTTGACAGTACATCAGCACAAATGCCCAACACGATTCAGGCTATTGAACCAACCCCGAATCCCCCACACCCGCAACCACATCATTGGCAACGTTTTTAGACTTCAAGACCAAGCCTCAGCTTCGGCTTTGGGCATCTTAGATCCTATAGCTACAACACTCTAGAGCGTAAGCCCTGCACCCTGCTACATATCTATACTTATACATATACATATGTATATTTATATATACATATATATATATATATATATATTACACAAATACAGCCTAAATGCTCACTTTTTCGCTGAATCCTAACTCATGCACGGTAGGTCAAATCTGACTCCTACAGCCGTGAAAGCTTGCACATTAAACGATAAAGCCCCACGCCCTATCACCCGAAGCTCCAAACCCCTTTAAACCCAAACGCCCTACACCCCTATAAACGCCTATATAAGCCCTTTCAAAACCCTACAAACCCTAAGCTACTTCCGCCAGTCTCAAAAGCGGGCCGACCAGTGGTGGGAGAACCTGCAGGTCTGGCCGTCTTCCTTGGGGTCGGGACTTATAGGTCTTTGAAGGGTGAGTTTTCAGGGTTCAGAGGGTTGCAGGCATGCAAAAGGAGGGTTTAGAGTGTTTACCTAGAGGCTCCATAGTAGTTCCTCGTTTGTGTTCATATTCAGAATCCTATATGGTAGTTCCAAAAAGGAACCACTATGGAGTCTATGGGTAGGCATGGTTTTTGGGTATTAGGATTTGTTGCTTTAGCGCCTGGGGTTTGGGAACAGTGAAACGTTCAAGGATGTAGAGGGGTTAACTTTGGGGTTTGGCGCACGCCGGGTTAAGGGTCCAAAGGATCCAGTAATTATGCGAGTTTCTGAAATTCTGAAGGGCGTCTTTTGTTCAGGTGTTAGTATCATGCATTGCCCCGAGCCATACAAGTCCTAGACCCCAAACCCCAAAGGAGGAAGTGCCCAAAGCGGTGGCGCAGCGGACTTGTGGGAGGTACTGCAATCGCTTGAGGTCTGTGATGTTGGGTCTTCCGTTCTCTGCCTGCTATTTCTGAACACCACTCTCAGCCCTCTATACGTCCTAGAAACCCTTGTAAGCCCTCGTGGCCCGTAGGCCGTTAATCTCTGGAACACACTGGACCCTTTTACCTCAAGGCCGGGGGGGCTTTTTCAGCCCAAAGCCCGCAGCTGTAAACACCACGAGTCCTGTGAGTGCTAGAATTCTTCGAGCCTATCCGAGCGAATCGTTTGGGGTTTTAGGTATACTATACAAACCCAAGAGAATGTTGACAATACTGTTCTATTATTGTTCTAAGGGGTATAGTTTAGGGTTTGGGGTTTAGGGAATAAGGAAACCCCAGAGGTCTTGAACCTAAGCCTGCGACAGGCAATGGCCAAAGAGAAGGACTGCTGGCAGAGTCTCTATATTGAGGTTTGTCTGGTTGGGTTCAGGGTTCGGGTTGAGGTTGTTTGTAGACTGTTATCAGTGTTATCAGCACTACACAGTCAGCTCCTTGACGCCACTGACAGTTTTACGTCTTTGTTCGTAGGCCGGTGTATGCACTTGATAGGTTCACACACCCCAGACCCCGAACCCTTAAACCCTTACAGTAGAAGCCAAAAAGTTGGAAACCCAATGGCTTCAATGCTTAAGAGTAGTGTATAGAGAATCCCAGCACTATTTGGCCTTAATCCGGTTTCCAACTTTATGGGGTTTACTGTATCTCTAATCTGTAAACTCTGCAATGTCGAGAGGGAGATGATACGGCGCTGACGAATCCCAGCACGCAATCAAGAAGATTCTGAAGCCCCAAACCCTCGGATCCCTAACAGCGTAGAGCCCTACCCCCACCTCAATAATCTTAAGCCTGGCACTTCCTTAGGACCCAGTTGATTTTCTTACAACATACGCGAAGAGCATCTACAAGTCATTCAAACCTTTATGGTACTTACTTACACCCTATGAAACCCCACTTCAAGGATAATGGGACTTTGATCCTCCAAGTATACGGCCCTACAAAGCCCCGCACAAGCCTCGTTACTTATCCAGCTTCCTCAGCTGTGAGAATTTGTTCGGGTTTAAGGTAAAAGCCAGAAAGTTGGAATATGATTATCCTAAACCCTTTATGGTAAATTATAGGGTATCCTACCCTGAAACCATATTCCAACTTTCTGGAGTTCCCTTTAGGGTTTAGGGTCTAGGAGTCTAGAGGGGAGTTTCACCTCCAATCTTCGGAGCGCCTCCAAGCCTTGGCTTCAAACCTCTCAAATTATAGATCACCCCCAATATGGCCTAATACGGTTTAAGGTAGGGGTTTAGGGTTTAGGGTTTAGGGTTTAGGGTTTAGGGTTTAGGGTTTAGGGTTTAGGGTTTATATTCCTTAACTAAAGGATATTGGAAGATCTGGGAACTACCAGAGCTCTATCCGCAGACCCTACTCAGAAACACCGACGCCCAAATCTCTAACCTCCTGTAAAGAACCTTTTGAAGAAAACCCGAAGATCCCATCATAAAGACCAGACAGAACGCCTAAGCCCCTGCAGATCCCCGAATGACCCTAAACCCGAAAAGCCACAAAAGGTCCCTCAAAGAAGCCTCTAACTGGGCTCTTCTTAAGGGGACTTAGTTTAAGTTACCTTGATAAGCTGGCCGAATTATTCACTATAGATCCCTACTATGGTAATTTAAGTTAGATTCCCTTAACAAGAGCCCAGTTAAAGCCTGCAAAGATCCCTTGAAGAAGCCTCTCCAAGGATCCTTTAGGGTGTTACAGATTCCGTGAAAAAAAGCACCCAAACCGCAAACACCGCAGCGATTCCTTTGCAGCGCCCTTAAAGGAAGCATGAAAGGGATGTTTAAAGGAAACCCTTAAAGGAGACCCGTGTTAAGGGATCCTTAGCGGGATGAACTGATCCCTTTAAAGGAATCTCATGGTACCTTGAAGCGAAGCCTGCAAAGACTGCTTTGAACCCTAAACCCTAAACAAACCCTACACCCTAAAGGTATCCCTTTAAAGCAATCCCTTAAGGGCTTCTTTACACCCTTAACCCTAAACAAACCCTAGGGATCCCTTTAGAGGAGTCCTTTAAAGGAGCAGAGTCCCATGGTACCTTAAAGGGAACCCCTAAAGGACTGCTTTGAACCCTAAGCCCTAGGGACCCCTTTAAAGGAATCCCATGGTAGCTTAAAGGAAAGCCTTAAAATCCTACATCCTCAAGGGATCCCTTTAAAGGAGTCCCTAAACCCATACCCCGAAACCTGAAGGGCTGCCGAACGCCTGGAGGAGCTCCTGGAGGTCGAGAAATCCCGCCTGGAGTCGGAGAAGATGCAGTGGACACAGGCCGTTTACGAATGATGACAACTAGGATGCCCAGTAGTACCCTTATTCCCTTTTTGTAGCCCTAGGGTCCAAAAAGAGAGGCCATTTTATTCTTAGGTTACTGGGTATCCTAGACAATTAATACGAGCAATGCTAACAGCTTTGAGAGTTAGTAGTGTTAACCCTAGTAGACAGCTAAAGTTCTGTTCATATTTATTAATCCTAATAGTCCAAAAAATGATAGTACTGTTAGTAATAGTTATCATAATCGTAAGAAGCTGATACAAATGGTAGGGTTGCATCTAGGCATCCTTACAGGGGTCTATAAAGAAGGGTCCAGTAATGTGCCTTTTTAGTAAGGGCCTTTGCCTCAATGACTGCTTTAAAGGTTTCCATTCAAGGGTTCCTTTCAGGCTTCCTTTTAAGGGTTTAGGGTTAAGGCCCTTTATGATTGGAGTTGGGTTGCGGGTCAGGGGTTCAAAGGTGTAGGTTGTACGGTTTGGGGTTAAAGGTGCAGGGTTTAAGGTTGAGGAGTGTAGGGTTTAAGGTATAGGGTTTAAGATTCAGGGTTTAGGGCGGGAAAGATGCAGGTGATCTTGGCCCCTAGTGCTTAGTCTATGGTTCCTTTAGGGGGTACTTTTCAGGGCTCCATAAAGGGTCATTCTTAAAGGTTGAGGGTTAAGGCCCTCAATAGTTCGACTAGGGTGTTGTTTAAGGGATTAAAGTTTGGGACGTTGCGTTTAGGCCCTTAGTAATCCGAATTGCGTTTTGTTGTTTAGGTTTGGGGGTTCAGGCTCGTGATAAATGGGATAGGGTTTCTTCGAGTGCCCCTTTAAGTATGAAAGGTCCTAGATGAGGGTTCTACAACGGGATACATAGTACCTTATGTCTTAGACTGGGAGTTTGGGGGTGCATTATACTACTTTTTGCAAGGGACACCGGCCCGTGATGGGAGCTTATGTTTGATTTGTTTTCCGTTCGATGGGGTGTAAAGGGCTTGACAAGGGTTCTGCACAGGGGTTTACAGGCGTTTCATAATGTTTTAATAAGGATTCATATGCCGCTTCGTAGCCTTTTAAACGGGGTGCGGTTTGAGCAGGGAATCTCAGGAGAAAGGGTCTCAGGCATATAGGCTTGTGCCTAAATCCCGTTCTTCGTACCTGATCCAAAAGTCTTAAACTCCATAACCTTACAAGAACCCCTAGTAGTAGAGTAGGTAACCTTTAACCTTTGTTGGGTAGTATAGTTCCTATATAATCCCTATATAACCAAAAAGGTTAACTCTTAGTTCCCCATGATACCCGACACGTAGGAATCTTTGTAATGCCACCTGTACGTGTCAGGAACTCTTAAAGCACTCAAACCGAACAATTCAACCAAACCCAACCCTAAGCCCAAAAAACACTTAAATCCCTACACCCTAAAACCCTAAAGCCGAAACCCTTAAAGCCTAAACCCCTAACCCCTAAACACTAAATCCCTAACCCCCCGTTCCCCCCCCTCCTCCAAAAAGAAAAACAACCTTCAACAACACAAAGACCCCTTGCAGGTCCAGAGCCTTATGGAGCTAGAGAAGCCGCTGGGCTACGGTTGAGGGTTTTTTCGGGGTTCCTTTAAATTGGGTTTAGGGTTTAGGGTTCGGGGTTCCTTTAGAAGATGCTTGTAAGGGCTCCTCTACAGGGTTCGATATGGGTGCTATAGGGGTTCTGGGTTCATGCGCTTTAGGGGCTAGGGTATAGGGTTTCCAGCTCATGGGGTTAGCATTTAAGCTTGTGGGGTTTGGGTTCTGGTTGACACAAAATAGGGCTGCGGTTGCTGTTCTTAAATTTTGGAGTTGGGGTTCTGGTGTTGTGGGCCAGTGGGATCCATGGTCGATCAGGGTTGGTGTTTCTTACATGTAGTTGTTTTATGGTGCTTTTGGTAGATGTTCGGTAGAGCCAGGAACCTACAAATTGCAGGGCAAGTATGTTGGGGGTTGACAGGCTTGCCTTGCTTAGAGATCAAAATTTTGGGGGGTCTAGGCCGAGGGCTTGGGGGTTTAAGATTGGGGTTTATGGTTGGGAACGCCTTCGGGTTGTGGCTCGCGCACTCGCCCAGTTGGAGCAGAAGTGCCTTCTGCTTTAGAAGGGGCCCCCACCCTAGAATAGTGGGATAATAGGACAAAATTATTGGGCCCTAATACAATTCTTATAGTCACTATTACAGGGTGGGGGCCCCTTCTAGCTTCTGGTTTTTTGCCACTAAGAGTGAGATGGATAGTTGCCGGTGCACGTCCTGTTCGACAACAAGGACTGCGCCCGGTGGCGACCAACGAGGTCGAAGTCGTGAGTCATGCATCATGTGGGAGTTTCCGAAATTAGGGGTACCTTTTTGGGGAGTCCTTATAATAAGGATCCTACTATTTAGGGTACTACATTAGGGTCCGCTATTTTCGGAAACTCCCATGTCGACAGCCGAAGTCGGTGAGGCGCACCCTGGGCGTTGGCTTTACATGGGAGTTTCCGAAAACAGGGGACCCTATCAAAATACCTGAATTAATAGGATCCTTATTATAAGGCCCCCAAAATAAGGTACCCCTACTTTTCGAAACTCCCACATCGTGCCAAAACACGATCGCGGCGACAGAGATGAAGATGGAACACATGGCATTGACCGCCGCGGGACTGAAGAAGAAAAGAGCCGCATTCCAGAGAGACTCCAAAACCCCTTAATTAAGGAATATACCTTAAATCATATTAGGGATCCTACTATAATTTAAGGTATATTCCTTAATTAAGGGGTTTTGGAGTCTCTGGGATTCCACACTCGTTGAACGAGCTGCAGCCTCGCGCTGGCAACGATGTTCAGTGGATCGAGCTCCGCTCTCTGGAAGCAGCCATGCGGCCCCAAGTGCATGGCCTACAGTCCTACGATCTCCCACTGTCGACTGTGTCCACTGCAACTTCGAGGTTGAAGCTTGGGAAGACTGTTAGGAACGTTTTCTTTGCATCGGCGCATTCCCCAGGTGCCATGTAGTAGCTTGGGGATAGTATGGAACTCTCAATCGAGGAATGCCTTACACCAGAATAATAGTGAGATGCCCTGCAGCATCCTGTAATGTAAGTGTATGTGAGGCTACATGCCCCGCCCTTCCCAGCTAGGAGGGGTGGGAGTGTTGAGCACATCTCCAAGTTGTCGGACATCGGGTAGCCCTGACACGAGGCTCTGAAGCCTAAATCCCTACCTATAGTCTCATACCCTATCCGTTTTGGGGTACCTAGTTCTATACCAGATCCTAAGCATAGAACGCGGCACCCTGACATAAGTGGCAGGTTATGACCCTCTAGGTAAACCCTGAAGCCCCGAAGCCTCAAAGCCCTAAGCGCAAAAGCCCGAAGCGCCTAAGCATCGAAATCCAATCCCGCCACTGCTCGTTTCCAAGGAGGGTGGAAAAAACCCTAAACCCTAAAGTCTCAACCCCTAAGCCTTGAATTAATCCTTAGAACCCTAAACCCTAAAGCCTAAAGCCTTAGACCTTGAACCCCTAGACCCTTAATTAATCCTTAAAAACTAAACCCTTAACCATGAGGTCTGAGCTCCAGGCAGACATCCAAAAGGCCAAGGAAGAGAGGAAAAGGCCGTTGAGGGGTGTCGTAGGGTGTAGGGGGGATCCAGGTATATAGGCGTTTTTGTCAGCTTGCGTATTCTTGATATTCCATTCTGCGGTTCTGACAGTGTCGTGGGGCTTCAGAGTGCGATTTTTGAGGGTTCCTGGTCGATCTCTCAGTGGAAGCTGTTGGACGCACCACCCCAAACCTTTCAACCCTACTGCTCTAAAGCATAGCAGCTAAAACCGATGCCTCTAGCTCGAGTTTAATGTTGGGACTGTCGCTACTACCGTAGAACAGTCCTTGAGGATTGAGGATGGATGATATACAATCATATCGGGACTGCAAGGGGATCTTACATGAAGCCTTTAACATTTTTGTTGGCTCACGGGCCCTATCTTGAAGGGGAAGGCTGGATTTTGCAGCCGTGGGAAAACCTGAAGGGGGTCACGGTTCCAAAACAACTTCAGCAATGAGTATGCCCTAAACTGATGCCTGGGTATCCTTTGAAGTTCGCAAGGTCTTTGGACATATCACGTGTCTGGGGGTTTCCGTATGTTTCAATGCTTCGGCAGAGCTACCCTAAGCCCTTTGGGAGCTTGGCGCGTCTGCCATTGTTTGGACAGTCGTCACATTCAGGTTTTCGAGAGGAACAAGGGTTCGAGTGTGGACAGGTTCGCAAACAGATTGGGTTCTCCAAATTGGTGTCCCTGTAACTCTTAGGTTGACACTGTATTGTGTGGATCCGAAAAGGGACCCTAATTCAGAGAACCCCGGAACGCTAAATCATAAACTACAAACCCTAAACCCGTGGAGGCCTCAACCCGATCCCGGTTTGTTCGAAAGCCCATTTCAACAAGCGATAAAGTCCGCAACTCCAAACCCTCAACCGCCCGACTCTAAAGCCCTAAACCGTAAACAGTGCCTCCGAACTTAATGAGCGCCTGCGAGGCTTGAGGTAGCAGCAGAGAAGTGGCACCACACACTGCAGACAGTGAAGGTGGGCGGCGAGATTCCGGGTTTTGGGTTTCAGTTTAGCACGTAAGTCTCTAAATGGGCCTTAGGTTCCTTATTACAGTATTATAGTTCTAGTACAATGGACCCCAAACCCCATTCTAATTATGAAGGCCCTCAAATTAGGTTCACGAGTTCGATCTCACATTCGGGATTCGCGTATGTTTGTTCGAGCCTGCATGAGTCTCCCAACCTACCTGGTGTTTTCACATGCACATGTAGCCTGAACATGCAAGGCATCTCCCTTTATCTTGCTCTCTATAACGCACATACACATGTGTGTGTACAATGTAAATGTATATACTTATAAGTACATACTTACATACATACCTACGTATGTACGTATGTATGTAATCATTATTCTACAGCAAGGTACTTGCTGCAAGCATTGTACAGTATACCCCCAAACAATATCCCAACTTTATCAACACGCATGGACGAATTGGTTCGCTGCTGCTACATTAGGTTATAGCACAGAGTGCTTCGATCTGTGCGGGCAGCCGTAAAGCCTGAATCCTGGTCGTAAGCTTGAATTACATCCCGCACTCAATGTTCGTTAGAGGCCAACTTCTAGAAGCTACCATCAACAGGTTGTAAGCCGATATGAGGGTTTCAGAAAAACATCACGAATCAGGGACCTTGAAAACGTGCCCTTCACAGCAGGATTCTGATGACGAGCCAGGGACCATACTTTTCTAGGCTGCCTTTTGTTGAAGATGAGGTCGACCAACAAGTTTGTGTGTTGCACCCTAGGCTTCACTAAGCCCCCCAAAACCAAGTTATCATCAAACACCACAACCGCCCATGTAAGGCGTATAAAATTTTAGCAAACCCAAGGCAAACTCTTTCCCCCATTATGATTATGATTATGAACCTTGACTCTTTTGCGTCAGCAACCCTAAAGCTAAGCGCAAAAACACAGCATATTAGCCAGAGCCCTGCTTCTGAATGCCTCTGAAACCAGGCACAAGCCGAGGAAAAGGAGGCTCCCTGTGGTTCTTAGTAGTTGTTCAGAACGATTTTAAGGGTCCAGGGTTTGGGGGCAACTTTCTGGAGGAATTCCTTACATAGAAGCCTGAATACTTACTTGTGTACCCTAAACTCCCTGAGTAATTAACCGTGTATACCCATAATATACCCCAAAGCCGTAATGTGCTTGTAAACAAACGCTCCTATCTGATCCAACAAGCTTTCGGGGTGTAGCGTTCAGATGTTCACGATTTTGAGTTTCTCGGGGCTTCAGGTGGTTTTCAGGCTCGCGCGTATTTTGAGGCACTGGGGTCTCGAAAAGGAGCTCAACAGTTCAAATCGGCTTGACATACACCGGCTCATGCGATGGATGCATCTGCCAGGGCTGGAAGTTGAGGCAACTGACCTACAGCCTCTGGCTCTGGGCCTAAAGCCTATACCGTAGATCCCGGTGGCACCCTCATAGAGCCTTCGTCATGTTAGTCTTATGCAAATCAGTATAACACCACCTGGTATCATCTGAAATCTTAAACTCAGGCACCGTGCGAAGTACCCTGAAACATTCTCCTTCAACTTGGAAAGAAATGCCTAGTAGTAGAGTAGGTAACCTTGAACCTTCTTGGGGTAGTGTAATCCCTATATAACCCCTATATAATCAAAAAGCTTAACCTTTAGTTCCCCATCATGCCTGACAAGTAATACCCGAAACCTTATAGTACGCTTTATTGAGCCCTTTAAAAGAACCCTTATAAGCCCTTCCCAGACCCCCGGGAGGATCCAAAAAGTATATCCCTTCATGGGGCTTCCTCTAAGGTACCCTTAGTAGTATAGGGCCCCGAATTAGGGGATCTACTTTTAGCCCGATTCCATGGTCGACAGACCGAGCTCGAAGGGCTACCTGCAATAGTAGGGTTGATGATATGGGAGTTTCCGAAAATGAGGGGTACCTTATTTGGGGGTCCTTATAATAAGGATCCTATTAAAAAGGGTACGATATTAGGGTCCCCTATTTTCGGAAACTCCCATATACATCCTGCATTACCTTACCCGAAGGCCCCAGAGTAGTTCTTTTTTGGGGTTCGTATATAGAATCCTATAAGGATATCCCAAAAAGGAACTACTATGGGGCCTTTGGGTAATGATGCTAGACTATGGGAATTACGGTATCTTCCCTATTATGGGTAATGCAGGACTTATATCATCAACCGCGGTGATCCGTTTAGAGAAAACTATTTTTGAGATACCCTTCAAGCACCTATGAAGCTCCGCACAATGACGTAAAGCAGGCTTGCAACACCCTTATAGGAGCCCGGATTTAGAAAGCCGTAAGCTTTGTAGCAACTCATAGGACCTTGAAAATCTATAAAGCCGTTGTCTACGACCCTCTTAAGCCGGTTCTATCCTCACACCTCCCCTACTCTAGGGGTCCATGTGCCCAAATAGTATTCACTGTGGCCCTAATGTACTAAAGTACAAAAAAAAAAGACGAGTTTAAGGCTAAAGTCTATACTATTTGGGTACATGGACCCTTCGGATTACTAACCATCGAGGCTCACCCACAGCCCTAAACCCTAAACCGGCAGCCCAAAGACATCCTGAAGTCTAAACGCCACACGTGCAAAGCCCCGGAATCCAGAACCCCTGAACCTGAGTCTTCGAAACCAAAAGGCCTGCACCCCAAATCCCGAAATCCCTAGTAGAACCCCAAAGCCCTGCCCTAAACCCTAAACCCTAAACCCTATGTCAAAAAGGCTCACCTAAAGGAGATCCAAGCCATCCTCACCAAGCAGCAGGACCTTTCGGGGGGTGCAAGAGTTTCGAAGTTGCCCCTTTAGGGTTTAGGGTTTAGGGTTTAGGGTGCCAAGAGGGTCCAGATGCCATATTTTTGAAGATCCGGAAAGATGTTTTTTATTCATGTTGAGCCCCGTAGTCGATGTATATAATATACGAAACTGTTTGGGTACATAGAATTCTCATGATGTTTTTTTCCTAAGCCCTAAACTCTCAACCCACATATACAGCTGGAGGTCCGGGCATTCATGAATGTACTGCGAGGGGGTTAGAGTCGAGGCTTACAGGATGTTGCAGGGCTTTGGGCTCAGTGGGTTAGGGGGTTTAGGGTCCAGCATTTATGATTTCAGAGTTCTGGGGGCTCGTGTTCCGGGGTTGTAGAGGTTTGAGGGTTGCGGAGGACTGGGAGTTTCGGTTTTGGGGCTTTAGGGTTTAGGGTTTAGGGGTCATGGGGCTTCAAGGGCTTTAGGGCTCGTTAGAGGATCGGGAAAAGCTGCTGCTGCTTTCAGGAGGAGGCAGCAATGTCGTCGGCACCAGCATCTGCGGAGGAGTAGGGGCCTTAAAGATCCAAACGGGCGTCCCCGAATAGTTACCTTATTTTGGGGTCCTTATAATACGGATCGACTATTTAGGGTACTACATAAGGGTCCCATATTTGCGGAAACTCCTATGTAGATCTTGTATTGGCCCCTGTTCTGTTGGGGAATAAGTTCGGGGCTCATACCGTTTATGTGTCGGGGGCTGGGCCTAGGGTCTGGGAGTTTAGGGGTTAGGGTTTCATGTAAATCTTTGATTAGTAAACTGTAAACTCCTCATCTAACAGGACAACCCTAAACCCTCAACCCTAAACCCTAACTAAAGTATAAGAATCCTTCTCCAGGGGTGCACGTGTCTGGGTGTGCAGAGTTACGCAAAGCTCAGCCTTTAGTGTCAACGTCCATAGGAGTCGCTTAGAGATAGGGTTTAGTGTTTGGGGTTTAGGGTTTAGGGTCCTGGACCCCGAAAGTCCAGGACCTGAGAGTGCGCAGTCTAAATCTTAACTTTCCCTGACCCAAACCACCGAATTTAGCTTGGAATTATACCCCTGGACACACCCAAAACTAGCCCACCAATATAGCTAGCGCTGCGGGCCTAGGTGCACCCTGGCAGGGGTTTGGGTATTGAGTTCACTGAAATTCGGAAACAAACAAGAGCAGCCAGGCTTCAGGGAAAGAGCCCAACCACCAACAAGGCTTGACTGCTCCAGACAGCATATCGTGTCCCTGTAGTTTAGGGCATCCTTCTGCAGTCACCTAGTCTGTGCACATCGAGCATGACGAAGTTTTGTTCCGAGCGAATTTGGTCCGGTGAGTACTTGAGCTGCGAGGGTGTCTGTAGGGTAGAGTCTCTGGTCCTATGATTTGTCCAATTGGAAGCTCGGTGGAGGTGCCTCAGAGAGTTGCTTTCAGGGTTTTGGTATTGGGGTGGAGGGCGAAGAGTAATTATTCTGGAGGCTCTTGGACCTAGGCTCCCCCGAGTCGGGATTCCGGAAAGGACCACCAAAATAACAAAAGAAATTGATGACAGCCCAGCAGTCCTGAGCCCAGGCCATCAAACTTCACGGTGACGCAGCTGCTGAGTGTGCCAAGCCCTGGAGGAAATTTCTTGGCCCATAGGTGTATGAGGGAGGCCCCTTAAAGGAAGCCCTTCTTAGCCCTACTTCTGGTTCTCGTAACAAGAACCTTATTGAGAGTGTCTCTCTTCCAAAGGGTCCCCCTAATCCTAACTCCCAGTTGGGGAGGGGGGGGGGGCGGAGTGGCAGGGTTCAGGGTTCAGTTGATTCATATTTGGGTGGTTGTCAAAACTAAGGTCCCATTTTGGGTACCCTATAGGTGCCGTACTATATTAGGGACCCAAAAAGGGACCATAATTTTGACAACCACCGATTTTGGAGGTATGTGATTATCAAGTACCTGGACCTTCAGTCTTCGTCTTGCTAAAGAAGAATAATCGGTTTAGGGTTTAGGGTTGAATAAGAAGCTGCGCAAGTTCAGGGGTCCCGGATGGTGGGGTTCAGGGAGTTTAGGGCTTAGGATAGTGCATCATCCGATGCTGCGATTGCTGTGTGCTGAAGCAGCTCTACGGTGGCCTTATGAATCGGGCTTGTTGATCAAGGTGCTGCTTCCAGTGTCTGGGTTGTATGCTCCCTTGGTAGCACCTCCCTGTTGCATCCTGGGTTCTGGAATTCGTTCCCATTGCTCAAACACCCGTTTCCAAATAGCACAGAGTAGGTACTCTTTGTATACCTGGAGCTTATTGCGCGAAAAACTCTGTAAACCCTAAATCCTGATATCTGATCCCTCAACCCTAAACCCTGAACCCTAAACGCCCTAAACCTAAACCGTTGGATAAAGGCCAATGTTAGCCGAAACGGAGACATACCGTCAGGGCGGGATGTTCTCTGCACTTCGATCTGACACCCTTCGCCCAAGCCCTGAACTGCAATACCTGCAATAGGGGAGTCCCAAGCTCTATAAAGACCTGTTGACAGGTCTTCCTGTATGCTCCAAGGTTTCGTAAGTTTGTATGTGGGATCCTCTCGTTTTCTGCAGCGTTGCCGGCGTCTTTTTTCCCAGCGGTGTGGATTTCGCGGCGGTGTGGAGAAGCCGTCGCTGCGATGATGTAGCGATCCAGGAACCGACCTCCGCCATCTCTTGTTGAAAATTTTGGGGCGCCCACAGCCAGATACCCTAAACCCTAAACCCTAAACCCTAGATCGTTTGGCCATTTTTCCATGTAATTGTCTGAGCAAGGCATTCACTTGCCTCTGCAGTTGTCAGCAGAGATTCTTTGGCCGTCTGACGGCAACATCTCGAAAATCAGTACTGGCGGGCCTGGTTGTCTTGCTTCTTTGGTGGGGCTGGTTGAGCCAATTGCTGGGCCTGAGCACTTGCGGCAGGTGCAGCACGGGGAGGCAAGTTCCGTATCGTGTCAACGCGGAAATGCTCCACCAGTTGGGATACTTCTGGTCGATCTTTCCCCAGGACCAGACGTGCAAGAATCTCTAAGTGTCTACACCCCACAACCCTCAAGCATATTTCAAAGCGTTAAGAGTAATGCACACTAGACACCAAGCCCGCGAACCCTTTCAATGCCTAAACCCGACATTCTTCATAACACGCCTAAAGTTCCATGGCACTAAACCCTCAAACACCAAACTTAAACCCCCGAGAAACGTGCAGTTTAAATCCAAAATCTCCGAGACACATACGTCCACCAACCAACTGAAACATCTGCGAAAGGCCCTGCAGCCCAAACTTTTAACCCCTAAGCCCCAAGCTGGCCCTAAACCTTGTAAAGGCTTAAAACCCCTAACCCGTCTCTGAAAAGATTAAAGCGCCATGTTCCAATGAAACCCTAAACAGTGCAGATGCTTTCCAAAGCGTTCAACACCGAGACCTAAAGCGTAAACCCTAAACACTATAAACCCTGCAAAACTATAAACCCTGCAAGCCCCACAACCACAGGAAAAGCCGAAGCCCTGACCCCTAAACCAACCCCCCAAAAAAGTCCTCAACGACGGCAGGTGCTTTCCAAAGCTTTCAGCCGAGATCTAAGTCCTAAGCCCCTTATAAACTCCCAACTTGAAGAAACCCTAAACCCTGAACCCCTAAACCCGCAACCCTAAATCTAGTAGTAGAGTAGGTAACCTTTAAGCTTTTGGGGTAGTATAATCCCCATTTAACTTCCATTTCAAGCAAAAAGGTTAACCTTTGGTTCCCCAGGATACCCGACAAGCAACCCTAAACCGTATAAGGGTGCGTAAGGTTATAAGTACTTTAATTGGGGTTATCAGTATAGTTACCCTAACTAGAACCCTATTTACTAAGTCCCATGATCCTTTAGGTAACTCCTTTTCGAACCCTGCAAGGAACCCTAAGCCTTATAGTACCCCAAGGGCTCTATAAAGGAGCCCTTATACGCCCTTTTAAAGGAACCCTTAAAGGAACCCTAAACCTTACAGTACCCTTATAGAGCCCTTTAAAGGAGCCCTTATAAGCCCTTTTAAAGGAACCCTTAAAGGAACCCTAAACCTTACAGTACCCTTATAGAGCCCTTTAAAGGAGCCCTTATAAGACCTTTTGAAGGAACCCTTAAAGGAACCCTAAGCCCTAAAAGGTGCTTTCCAAAGCCTTCAGCCCCGAGACGTCGGGCTCTGGGCCGCCCACAGCCTCGGCGCCTGCGCAGCTCGTGGGCGCTGCCTGGAACCCTAAGGGTTTAGGGTTTAGGGGCTTAAGGTTTAGGGCCTAGGATCTTCTTTAGTAACTAGGGTTCCTTAAAACGGATCTATAAGAGGGGTTTTAGGGATAGTATCTAGGGTTATAATTAGGGTAGCTATACTTATAACCCAATTAAGGCACTTATTACTTACTAGGTCCCGGCGGGATCCTCCAAGTGGGGTTTAGGGGCTTAAGGTTTAGGGCTTCAGGTTTAGGATTCAGGGAATTAGGAGATCTAGGGTTGAGGGTATAGGACCCAAAAGTTATACTACTAGGATGCCCAGTATAGTACCCTTATTCCCTTTTTGTAGTCCTAGGTTCCTTATAAAGTGACCCAATACCAAAAAGAGAGGCCTTTTTATTCTTAGGTGACTGGGTATCCTAGACTAGGTTTAGGATAGTGGCTATGTCGGTTACTATCTTGGAGAGTATATGGGCGCGGCCTGGAACTTGGTGAGTTTTGATTAGGGGCTTAAGGTTTAGGGGCTAAGGGGTTTAGGGGTTGGGGGGCTTAGGAGCTCAGGGTTTAAAGGTTGAGGGTTTAGGGGTTTAGGCTTTGGGGGTTGAGGGGTTTAGGGGTTCAGGGTTTAGGGTTTCGGGGTCTGAAGTTTGGGGTTTGGGGGTTGAGGGTTTAGGGTTTACGGTTTGGGCTTCAGAGCTTCATAGCTTTATGGCTTCAATCTTTTCACGTTCCAGAGTTCTAGGACTTTGGGGGTTTTGGATCTCAGAGTAACAGTTTTGACAGGGTTTAGGATGGTTTAGGGCTTTGTTGTTTAAGTTTATAGTTAATGCGGCATCTTTTGCATTCATTAGCAAGCCTTGTTTCATATGAGGGTTTCCGGATAGTTAATTTCGGGCAATGTGATTTGAATGGCCTGGCGTTTTGGCTTGTCTAATTGCCAAGTTACGGCTTAGAAGTGGACGTACTTGCTCGACGAAGCCTATCGTCTAAGATGCGGTGCTTGTAACTTGGCCATAAAAGCTATTATTTCAGCCTTTAGGGTTCAGGAGGGTGTTGAGTTCCCACGATTGGCTCCAAACCACAGGGGCCTGTACGTCCGACTGTCCGAAGCATCCGGCAGACCTCCTCCGGTTCCCTAAACCCTAATCCCCCCCTTAACCCTAAATCCCTCAATCCCTAAACCCTAAACCCCTCACAATCCCTAAACCCTAAACCCGCAAACCCTAAGCCCCTAAACCCCTAAACCCTAAACCCCAAACCCCTCACAACCCCTAAACCCTAAACCCCTCAATCCCTAAACCCTAAACCCTAAACTCCTACACCCCAAACCCCTCAACCCCCAAACCCCAAACCCGCAAACCCTAAGCCCTGAAGTCCCGCAGTCGGATTCGGGAGGCGATCCCAACTCGAGTGGCCAGCTGTGGTCGCTTACGCGGAGAAGCTGTCCGAGCCAAGTGGGTGGTTGTCAGAATTGGGGTCCCTTTTCTGGTACCCTAAATAATAGGTGCCTTTTTTAATAGTGGAAAAAGGACCCTAATTTTGACAGCTGGGTATAGGTCCCTTTTCGGGTACCCTGAATAATAGGTGCCTTTTCTTCAATACTGAGCCACGAAGGGACCCTAATTTTGACAACTACCCAGGTGGACAAGGACCAGCTTGTGGCCCAGGTCGTTGCCGGGGATGCAGTCGGACTATCTGACATGGATTTCCTTGGTGACACCCTAAACCCTAAACCCTAAACCCTAAAAACCCTAAACCCTAAACCCTAAAAACCCTAAAAACCCTAAACGTTCACTGTGATGACACATGACAATGTGGCGCACGTCGACCCCCAAGCATCAACGGTCTGTCGCGCATACCAACTCCGAGCAAGCTCGCCTTGGGGTTGTTTATAGGGTTTAGGGGCTTCGGGTTTGGGTGCAGATTGCGATGAACCTGGGGCACAAAAGTTGCACCATCCCCTCCCAAACTGCATGAACCCTGAACCCTGTTTATTTTCAACAGTATTTCTATGGGATTTCATACTCCACGCGGCACAGGTAGAATGTTCGTTCCCTCAACCCGTACTAAAACCACGACACTGGGTCGGTTTTGCATTTTGGCTTCGGGAACCTGCACAAAAATCTTCAACGGGCATATCGCCTGTGATTCAATAAAGCCTCCATGGACGCCCAAGTCTAGTGAACAAAACATGCTGTTCTAAACCCCAAAAGACTCATGTAACCTGCCATAAACCCCTTTTAATCCTACAGGATCTTTATCATCCTCATAATCTTACACTCTTTTAGACCCTGAAAGATGCACGCCCTAGCACAGCTACCCGAATTAAACCCTGAAACACCTCCAATCAATCGAACTTGACCCAAAACCCTAGATGCTAGACCCCATAAACCCTGAACTCTAAATTGCCCTAAACCCAAACCCTGGATGCTAACCCCGTAAACCCTAAACTCTCAATTGCCCTAAACCCTAAAACAAAAAAACATACACCCTATTAAAGCTCATACCCGAACCCTAAACCCCATAAATACTCCATAAACCCTCAACCCCAAACCCTAAAACAACAACATAAGCCCTGTTACCCTAAGACTCCATGTGTCCATGTAGTATGTACTTAAGCCTTAAAGTTGGTCCCTATATGGCCACTTTAAGGCCTAAGTACCTATATGGGTGCATGGAGCCTTTGGGTAAAAGCTCATTCCCAGGTCCGGACCTTGAGCGCTTCCGAGGATGCCGAGCCAGGGAGCAGCGCCGGCGCGATGCGCATGTTCAAGCGCAGCTCGTTGAGGAAATGCAAAGGTTCCTTTAAGGGCCCCACTAAGGGTCTATAAGGAAAGAGGCCGAAGGGAGATCATATTGAGGAACCCCTGAAAGAAAAGCAGCCTGTTGTGGAAATGTGAGACTTCAGGGGCTAGGGTTTAGGGGTTTAGGGTTTAAGGTCCCAGAGGCTCCATAGTAGTTTCTTTTTGGGTTTCATATTTAGAAGCCATAATAATATTAATCCCCAAAAGGAACTACTATGGACCCTAGTTATGACTAGGGGGCTTAGGGTTTAGGGGAGTTGAGTTCATGGTTGAGGGTTTTGGGGGTTTTGTATTTGGGTTCCTTGAAGGGTTCCTCCATGGGAGGAAACGAGAATTTGAAGCTTTTCGTCAAGGCCCCTGTACAGCCTCTATAACTAATGGGTTCTAGAGTTCCCTAAACCCTAAACCGTAGTGAGGGTTGTGTAGAAGCTTTGAGTTCGAGGTTGATCGCCGGATTCAGGGTTCTGCAAGAGTTCTGTAAGGGGCATATATTGTATTGTAACGGATCTTATAGGGTTTGGGTCTCTTAAGGTTGTTTTAATTTAGAGATGTGCGAAGAAACAGGGGCACCACGGCGTAACTTTCTGTTAATATTAAGGGCTCCACTAAGGTTTCTGCAAGGGGTACTACAATGGGGTATGTGTTGAGCGATTATGTCTAGGCGTTCAGGGTATTAGGGTTTGCCGGGTTCGCGGGTCAGGTTGTGGGGTTTAGAAAAGTGTGGTTTAAGGGTTTAGAGTTACTGGGCTTCGGTGGTTTAGGCTTGGGATTCAGGTTAAGCTTTATTGTTGAGAACAGGGTTAAGGTTTTCTTTGATACGGGCCGGAACAAAGGATCCTCATTATTAAAGGGTTTTCGGGCTTAGAGAATATGGGTTTACTTCTGGTGTTTACCTGGTTATTTGTGAGTTCCACGGGGCCTAGACAACTACTACTATTCCACTGGGGTCCTCCCCAAATCCGTACTGTATCATAATGATTTTTTGTTTGGAGCACCACGACTACATGCCCCAATTGAGATTCTCCGTTTGCACAATATTTCAAGAGTCGGGGTTTGGTTTGGGGTTCAGTGTTCAGACAACCTTATAAGCCCTTAACCCCAAACCTTACAGTTATTGGAGGCAAGAGGCACAAGGTGGTCGAGCACAGAACACCTCGGAACCTCTGAAACCCGAACCATTTCGGATTCGGCTGTTTGCCCTTCGCCACTGAGGCCTCTACAGCAGCCTGGCCGTACTTGGAGGATCATGGGACTTAGTAAGTAAGGTTCTAGGTACCTTAATTGGGGTTATAAGTAGTTATAAGTATAGTTACCCCCTAGTTACTAAGTCCCATGATCCGTTAAGTAGTATGAGGTTATCAGGCGGACTCCTTTAATGTTTGCCTTTGGTGCTGTTGGGGTCGGAATGTGTTGGTGTGATTTTTATGATTTATGGGCTTTACAGTTTGAGGTCCGTCATCTAGTACTGCGTGTGGGAGGGTTCTGGGCATTAAGGTTTGGATGGTCTACGGCTATAATAAGCCCACACCCCAGATGTACTCGAAAGGGAGCACGGCCCAACCCTAAACCCTGCAAGTCTTGAAGCCTATACCCATACCTGCACCCCAGAAAACCCAGCTTCTTAAGGATCGACTTGTATCATAAGTTCATCATAAGGAGCCCGACAAGGTAGGATTTTCGGGCTTGATTTAAGCCCAAAATTTAGACAGCCTAAATCCTAATCCCTAAACCCTAAACCCCTAGACCCTAAACCCCTAAACCCTAATCCCTAAGCCCTAAACCCTAATCCCTAAACCCTAAACCCTGAATCCTAATCCCTAAACCCTAAACCCTGAATCCTAATCCCTAAACCCTAAACCCCTAAACCCTAATCCCTAAACCCCTAAACCCTAAACTCTTAAACCCCTAATCCCTAAACCCTAAACCCTAAATCCTAATCCCTAAACCCTAAACCCTAAATCCTAATCTCTAAGCCCTGAACAACCCGTTTATGTCCTTTGAAATCGTTACGCGCCTCGGAGCTCCCAGCCACGAGGGCTGAAGTCAAAACTCGCAATCCAGGCCTTCGGGTTTTAGGGTCGAAGGGTTTAGGGGTTTTGGGGTTTTAGGGTTTAAGGGTTTTAGTTTAGGGTTTAAGGGTTTATGGGTTTTAGTTTAGGGTCTAAGGGTTTAGGGTTTAAGGGTTTTAGGGTCTAATTAAGGGTCTAAGGGTCTAAGGGTTCAGGGGTTGACGGTTTCAGGTTTATGGTCTGAGGGTTAGGGGTGTAGGGTTTAGGGTCTAAGGGTCAGGGGTTAAGGGTTTAAGGTTTACGTAGGCTCTAAGAGTTAGGGGTGTAGGGTGTAGGGTCTATGGGTCAGGGGTTTAGGGTTCAAGGTTTAGGGTCTAAGGGTTAGGGGTGTAGGGTTTAGGGTCTAAAGGTTAAAGGTTAGGGGTTTAGGGTTTAAGGGTTTAGGGTTCAGGAGTTTCGGTGTTACGGTTTTGCTGCAACTCAAAGATACTAAGGACTCACACCTCCAGGCTTTTGTAGCTTTCGGGCCGAAGTGCCGGCTATAGTTCATGCTTTCGATCAAGGCTACCAGAGACTCCAACATCCCTCAAATCAGGAATATGCGGTATATGCGTCTCTGGGTAACCCTATATACAGCTGTCTTCCACCGTGCTGCCTCGATGCCTATCCTATCGGCTTCGATTGCAAGGTGACTACTTTGGGGCCTGGGGCTTTAGCATCTGGGGCTGGGGACTTCGGGGAAGACTATAGGGGCCTTTATAATTAGAGTAGGGGTTATGGGGACCATTATACTGTACTTATGGTAAGGAAACCCCGTTTTGGGGACCATTATACTGTACTTATAGTAAGGAGCCCCCAAAACAGTATAGGTAATTGTGTAGATTTCAGGGCTTGGGGCGAAGACTTTGGGGCTTCTGCTAAAGTCTCAACTATCCTAGGCGACTTCGGAAATGAAGACTTCTGATTCCAAAAGGAGCTTTACGGTTTATGTAGGGTTTAGGGTTTTAGGACTTTGGGTTTTAGGGTTTAGGGTTTAAAGTTTTAGGGTTTTTAGTGTTGAGGGTTTTAGGGTTTACGGGTTTAGGGTTTAAGCTTTATGCGAAGTCCGTCATGTTAGGATCGCTCGTGTAATCCCTATTAGGGAAGCTGGGCTTGTGAATCAGGGGTCTACTTTACCGGGCGGCGCCTTTGTTCATGGCATCGTTTACAAAGATGCTTCATCTGGCACTTCAACAACAAGATCTGAAACCCGGTGCTACTATTTCTATTACCAATACTGTGACTCTGCATTGAGAATATGAATAATTATTAGTTACGGTTATGATAGGTATTGTCATGTTGCGATGTTTGTCATGCGTACTACAAGTCTTATCTTTGCTATTGTTGTTATCAGCACTGTTGGAGGCACTGGTTTTGCTGCCATTATTGTGATCAGCAATTTTCGCATTACCCTTCTGCAACACAAATATTAATACTTTACAGGTCAGTATTGCGTTTACTACATTGTGGTTACCATCATCGTTTTTGATCATCGCTATGGTTGTAGCATTAGTATACCATTAGAATTTGCTCGGTTAGTCATTCTTCGTTGTTTCTAGTGTTGTTATTGCCAACATTACATGCACTGTTCTAGGTATACTTAGATGGTTAGCGTTAGTATGGTTTGTGTTCTTATCAGCTTTTGCGTTCCTATTGGCATCACAGTTGTGTTGTTCTGTTCATTGTTGTTGATTTTCTTGTGTTGAAGGCCCCTATGATATTTTCATCCTCAAACATCCGAGGCACTTACTCGGCAGTGCCTGCGGGTCCAACCGTGCAGGGCGCGGCTTACAAGCCTCTTAGCAGCCCTGAGCTGGAGTTTCCACAGGTTTCCGAGCGGTTTAAACGGGCTTTCAGTGTTTAGGTGAAGTTTATAAGCCTTTTTGTAAGGTTTTGCAAGCCTCCTAGCCCCGAGCTGGAGTTTCATATGGGTGGCTGTCAAAATTAGGGTCCCTTTCTGGGTCCCTACTATAATACGGTACCTATTAAACCTATTATTTAGGCAACCCAAAAAGGGGCCATAATTTTAACAACCACCCATATGGGTTTCATGAGGGTTTCATAAGCGTTTCACAGGGCTTCGTCAGGGCCTGGTGAGGCTTTATCCGCCTCTAAGGGCTTTACAGCCAGCTCTTTTGAGCTACTTAAAGGATCATGGGACTTAGTAACTAGGGTTATAATTCGGGTAACTATACTTATAACCCCAATTCAGGTACTTATAACCATACTTACTAAGTTCCGTGATCCTCGAAGTACCTGTTGCAGGTACTGGTAGGGTTAGGGGGGTTCGGCTTAAGCTTCGGGGTTCAGGGTATGTGGGCTGTTTTGATGGTGTTCTGCAGCCCTGCGGTGGGGTTTCATCGACCGTTGTGAGGGTTTCATACAGGGTTCATGGGGCTTCATTAGGGTTTCCATAAGGTTTTCCAGGGTGTGTTCAGTCGTTTTTTGTTAGGGAACGTTTCTCTTAGGGTTCAGGTAAAGGATTCAGGGCTTAAGGGTCAGGGCCAGGGTATGGGTTCGTTTTGGTTTCATCATGTTTCTCTACAGGTTTGAGAGGGCTTTTACACGCTTGCAGGGTTGTGTTGTTGTTGTGGTTGTTGTTGTTGTTGTTGCTTTAAGGGTTTCATGAAAGGAAGCATTTTGCATGTTGCAGGAGTGCCTGTTGTAATCCCCTTATATGCTTGTATATGTGAACCAAGTCTAAAGCTTTCTCCAGGGCTTCGTGAGGTTTTTGTAAGATTTGTGCGGGGACGATACATCCGATAAAGGTTTTGACCAGGACTTTGTAAGGCAGGTTGCCATAAGGGTTTTATCGTACTTGAGTAGGACGTCACAGTTGCTATTATTCACTGGGGAGCTATGGTTTCAGGGCTTGGGATCGGTAGGGCTTTAGGATTGAGGACAGGAGTTTCGGATTTCATGGGGCTCCAGGGTTTCGCAGTTTTTGATTTCTAGGTATTGGGGATTAATTGAGGATGTAGAGAGTCAAGGCTACAGTATTGGGTTCAGGCTATAGGGTGGCTTAGGGGCTTTACGGCTTTAGGCTTAAGCTCTGACTGGGTTTAAGGCTTTTAGGGCTTAGAGCGCTTAGGAGGGCAGCCTGCTTTGACACGGGAGGCTGTTGTCACATTCCGGAGCGACCAATCCCAAACCCTATAAGCCCCAGAACCTAAACCCTAAACCCTACTTAAAGGATCATGGGACTTAGTAACTAGGGTTATACTTAGGGTAACTATACTTATAACCCCAAGTAAGGTACTTATAACCTTACTTCCTAAGTCCCATGATCCTCCAAGTAGACCCCTAAAGGACCCGAAGTCGCAAGGCCTCCAAACCAAAACCCACGCCCATGTCACTGAGCCCTAAAGCCTATTCAGCAACTGAAGAAAACCTCGAGAAGCTTACGGAAGGAACCCTAAACCACACAAGCGACACAAAACAAGCGAAAGTCCTAAACCTTAAACCGACAACCTAAACCCTAAACTTTAGTTCGGTCCTAAACCCTGAGCCGACACCCTAAACCTAAACCCTAATGAAATCCCTAAATCCTAAACCTACACCCGGACGGTCATCCGCGATCCTTCGCCCAGCCTTGAGGCATGCGGGAACCTCTCGCGAGTTGGGCCGCGACTCCTGATGCGCACTAGGAGCCTTAACAAGCCAAAAAGTAGGTTGCAAAGCGGGCGTTAACATAATCGAACAAACCCAGCAGGAAGAATGGTCGTCATGATACTGGTAATTACATTGGAGACTTCGAAGAACAGTGGTAAAACAGATTCAGGTGGTTTTGGTGGAGCATAGTCTGCTCTACTTGTAAAGAGGCTCTATCGGGTTCCCGTTAGCTGGCAACAGTTAGCATTCACTCAGACCTTCATATCACTACAGACCCCGCTCCTTCAGGGGCCATAACGCCCGCAGGTTTAGGGTGCAGGGCTTAACCTCAAATAAGCTGTTTTGGCCTTTGCAGGGTTTGGGTTTGGGCCTGAGGGCGCTTAGGGCGCAAGGTTTAGGGTTTAGGGTTGATTGGATTTGGGTTTCCGAGGTCATTGGTTTGAGGGTTTGGGGAAGTTGGCTTAAACCGAGCAGTAATTAGTTCTCCGCAGATCTCCGACAGTATGCTCCGACTGGCGTTACAGCGTCTGCTAAAGGTGAGGGCTGCGTTTGGGGCTTCGGTGTACTATGGGGCTTAAGATATTAGGGCATTACGTCTTTATGCTTTGTCACTTTGCTTGCCCTATCAAATATATAGAGTGTACTTTCTGCTGGTTTCCTTGATGCATGTATGTATGTCTATATTATATATATATATATATATATGTAATTACACACATGCTACCCCCCAAATATCTATGCTATTTTGCTTTTTGCTGTGCTTTCCTCTGCGGGTACCATACATATGTTGGGTGTGTATATATATATATATATATGTATATATATATATATACATGTATAGACTGGCTTATGGGGTTTGGGGCGTTACGGTACTTGGGGTTTTTTGGCTCAGTGCCATGCGAGGTTCAGAGTTTAGAGTTTTGTATAAGAGTTGAGACTGAGATGACGGCCAACCCCAAAATTAGACATCAGAACTCATACATCCTGTGCTGCAATGCTTCAAAACACAAAAAAAGGGTGCGAAAACAACAATAACAGTAGCAATTCATTAATCACAATAGTGTAATGCTGAGAATGGTATTATTCGTCACAATGAGCCCATGCAGTATGTTATACAGGGGTGAAGAATTCATGCCGGTGCATTCATCGTCGATTTTCCCGTCTGTCATCCTGCCTCACACTTCGGACATAAAAGTTCGGAGAGAGGGGCCAAAGCTGTGATGATATCCAGGGAGCACACAGAGAAGGTCCGAAGTGCATGGGGGGTGAGAATTCTCCTCACCACCGACATTCTACCCTCAATTTTGGTTGCAAAGTATGCACAGTAACGCCTTCCGCGTCAGCCTACTCGTACCCAGCAAGCCCCGCACCCTTACATCATACTGGGCCCGATACCCAGAGGGTCCATTTTTACTATCAGTCATCCTGGCATTAGGTCCCAAAAGACCCCCATTATGGTTTGTGGGACCTAAGTGATTCCAAAATAGTAGTGTGCATGAACCCTCTTGGTTAGATCTTAGTGCAGATTTGTTGTTGTGGCGATTACCAGCAAGGGTTTAGAGCCGGCCAAGCTGCGGGTTTAGAATAAAGACCCTGAACCTTGAGGTTCGGATTTCAGGGTTCCGTACGGATTGTGTAGGCGCGTTTATGCTTTCAGGTTTAGGTGGTCCTATAAGTTTTCGAAGATTACAAGACGTGTAAACCGAGCAGCAAGCTAGGCTGTCAGTCCTTAAGCATTAAGGTGCGTGAGTACCAATTTTCGCTGCCTGATGCTCTTCGGACCCGTTCAGGACATTTCTTCGGGGCTGCTCATGCACTCCTATCTGAAACAAAGATGCAGTCCTGTCATATTACAAGCGGTTCGCACAGGATCTATATAGTGCTGTGGGGCCATTGGGTTTTTGTGGTTTGTCAAATCACCGGGTGTAGGATAAAGGGCTTAGGCCTTCAGACTTGTAAACTCTTAACTTCATTGTCATTTGAGGAGCGTGCTCGGTTTTAGGGTTTTGTCAGGCTCACTTTTCTAGATCAAGAGTCTCTGGGAGTTGAAATGTTATGTCGCCAGTAAGCATGCAACCGTAAGCCCCTATTCCTGAATGCGTAATGTAGAGGTCGGAACCATACCCTATGTTTTCCTTTTATGGCATCACTATGTTTTTAAGGAGACACTACACTAGAGCCTTCCATCAACTTTTCAACCCTAGATGCAAATCCCGTGGATCATTTGTTTTTGCATGCCGTTCGTCACGCACTCGACACTGCATGCTAGGAACCCTACACCACATCGCATCCGGCGGCATGTTGCAGCAAGCAGCTCGACAGCCAGAGGGTTGCAGCAAGAGGCTTTGCGTGATGGCTGCGCAGGGTAAGTATGATCCGCAAACCCCAAAACCCTAACACCCTAAGCCCTGAACTGTGAATCCGAACCCCCACCACAAAAAATGTTCTCTGCGACTCGCAGTTCCATGTAAGTCTTATTGCAACAACCCGAAGGGCCAAACCATCAAATCTCCATCCTACACGGTGTGCGCAACTCATGAAGTCTCTTGCTCCTGCCTTGTGGAACCAACAGTCGAGCAACTTTTGAGTGCTCTGCGTATAGTTGTTGAGCCAACATGTACAGAAAGGCGGGCACAGATGTGTCCCGCACCGGGTGAATTCGATCCCCGGCGCAAACAGCTCGCAACCTGCTTGGGGTCTTTCTAGCCGGTTAAGTTTATACATAGCACAGAAAACCTTTGCAGCAGTATCCGGAACGCAGTCATATGTAAGGACCTCATGTGTGCGCTAGCTATCCACCGTAATGTGCTGTCCACAATTGTGGTCACCACAGAAAGTCTTGTCGCGACCCCTGGACTCAGCACTCCGACTCCGAGCGTTTTTTTCGTCGTAGCCCATAAGGTGCCATGTACCTATACAGTACAGACTTAGGCCTTCAAGGGCCTCCGGGCCTACGTATTTACTACAGAAGTACGCGGAGCTTTAGGGTTGGGGGTTTTGCTTCCAGACCGCTTGCCATGTGCCCCCAAGTAACTCTTCCCTAAGGGCCCGGTTAGGGATGCCCACTAGTAGAATAGGGTCACCTTTATATAGTCGTTGTAGAATCCCTATATACCCCTCTATCATCAAAAAGGTTAACCTTTTGTTCCCCCTGATACCCGACAAGTATATACCCTTAGTCGAGCCCTTTTTATTTTGGGGTTTAGGGTCTAGGGTTTAAGGTTTAGGGTTCGGTTAGGGATGAGCCAGGACCCAAGGTAGACCCCATCCTTCTGAGGCCATTGTCGTTCGCGGAGTGTTTGTTTTGGGTTCATGACGTATATACTTTGCGGTATATGTATATGTATATGTATATGTATCTGTATATGTATATGTATATGTATATATATATATATATATATGTACATACATATACATATACATATACATATACATATACATATACATATACATATACATATACATATATATACATATTGTACATAAAATATTATATGTAAATATAATATAAATCTCTCTCTATATATATATATGCATATACATGTATAAATGTTAGGTACTTTAGTTGGCAAGTACTGCATCCGAAGCAGCGGGTGGGCGTCGACAGCGCTGCACGCGGCACTCTTGCTTGCCCCAGAAGGGTCGTCAAGCCTGGGTCGTGAGATTCGCACCAAGCGCACACGGTGAAAAGCTATCTGAACTCCGGGTGCTGTTGCTTAAGATGTCTGCATTCAATTCCCACAACTACTCACATATTGTAACCCTAAACCCTAAACCCTATTCTATCGTTTTGTCACGAAACCCTGCCGAAAATCTTGAAGCCCTGGCTTGGAAAACAGAGACCACCGATCCGAATCTCGTGAAGGAGCACCTTCCTGCGCGTGATCGCGGGCCTTAGACGCTTTAGGGTTTACCTGGTAAAGTTTACCTACAGGCTCCATAGTAGTTCCTTTTTTGGAGGTTTATATGTTTCAGATTTCTATAAGGTTATCCCGAAAAGGAACTACTATGGAGCCTTTGGGTAGGTTGCCTTCTGTAAGGGAATTGTCTGAGGGCCTAGATTCAGTTATGAGGTTCGCAGTGTGACGCGTAGGTTTCGGGTTCAAGCCTAAGCCTTACACATCTCGCAACCGGCACCCTCATCACCTAAAGCCTGAATTCCTATGACCTGACCCTGGTAACCCTATTCTAAGCCCTCAACTCCTTAGCCGCAATGCTGAACTTATGTTCAGGGACTTTGGGGTTAGGCTCGAGGTATTATGGAGGTCTGCAACAGCTTGCAAGTATGGTTCCCCCCTTATAGTGCCTGCGTAGTTGTTCTACAATGTCCCCCAACCTTTATTCGAAATTTCTTGTTGGCATTTACTCTAAACTCCGAAACCCCAAACCTCCAGCCTCGAACCCCAAATCCTTCAATGCACAGCCCAATTCCCACGCAGATCAACTCTACTCTTGTGAATGACCTCTTGCTGGCGATCGGCTCCATCCTCTTCGTGATCTTCTATCTTCGGGCTCGGTTTAGGGTTTTTTTGTCATTTGTGTTTAGGGTGTAGAATTTATTAGGGCTCAGACCTATCTTAGCTTCGGGGTCGGACCAGTTCTTGACTTATCGGAGACGTATCATCACGCTCGGCCCAGTTACTAGCTCATGGCTTAGGTGTAGGGGGTGGGATTAGAGTTTAGCTTTTAGGGTTTGGAGTTGTGGGTGTGTATGCAACAATTCGATTTGCTTCAACAGTAGTTGCCGTGTCCAGCCACGAAGCCCTAACCTCCAAACCCTAAACCCCCAAACCCTAAACTCCAAAACCCCTAGGCCCTAGACCCTCAAACGGGGGGTTTCGATTCTGTAGCCTGGTCCATAGTCAGTTGTACCGGGATTTGAACGTTGCATCGGGTTCTGTTTGGTTTAGAGTCAGGGTTTAGGGTTTAGGCTTCTGCGCTGCTTAGCGAGTCTTGGGGAGTGGTTCAGCCTGGAGCGTCGAACTGCGATCCAATGAAAGAGGCACCAGGACTTGTTAGCACATC